GAAATGTATTTAATTTTATACAAGTACCTTTTTATCCTTCCATTTATATTAGTTTATAATATGAACAGATGTAAGATTATAAAACCTATCACTCATTTAAATATAAGAAATAAAGAGATCCACTATGAAAATTATAGACAATATTATTTCATCCCCAGACTTTTTCGAAGGAAAAAATTCTCATGCCAGCCCATGCTATCAAATGTATGTCCAGGCAATACCCATATTTACCATCAAACCCCGTCTCTGACTCTACAGCAGAGGTGGGCAACATCAGCACTCCAGCTGTGGTGCAACAACACATCCCATAATGCATCTGCCTCTGGGAGTCATGCCTGTGGCTTTCAGTTTTGCAGCGTCTCATGGGATTTGTAGTTGCACCACAGCTGGAGGGCTGAAGTTTGCCTACCCCTGCGCTAAAACATGTCCCAGCATTATTTTGTTTTCTTTTACCTTGTAGGGAAAAAATAGATTTAATTACTCCCGGTGATATCGTCACCAGGCTTGTAATATTGTTCCAGGGGCAGCTGCTGGAAGATCAGTTCCTATTGATATAGACACGCCCCCCCAGAACTATATCTCCCAAATGTCCTTTCTCTACACACAGTATGTGGGCAGGGTTTTGGGATTGAAGGCAGCAGCACTGTTTTGCTGGACAAGTATACATGGGGAGAGGGAAAAAGACAGTTATTGAACAGGCCGAGTTCTGTCGTTCAGCAGGCAGAGACAATATCGCCAGTTGGGATTTCAGAGTAACAAAGTCTCTGTGTTACAATGGTCTACACATTTTGGGAGATGATCGACCTCAGAGATAAAAATGTGTTAATTCTTACATATTTTGAGTTTTATGAATTAGAAAACAGGTGACAAAGATGCTGGTTGGTTGGCTAAAGTTTCCAAGATATTTCACAATAAAGATTTATACACAGGCGAGTATATTTGCTTATGAGGGAGGGAGGTGTCTGATGATCACGATGCCTCGTAACTTCTCAACAAAGTACGGTAGAACACTGAAAATGGTTCCACATGGAAGTGTAGAAATTTATCTTCACTTTGAGACTAAAGATTATTACCTAACTGTAAGTTATTGTTCTTTTATTGCAAGGTACATTTGTCTTGGTCAGATCTATGCATCATACAGTTACATCTGGTGGCTTGTGAAATCGTAATTGCCTAACATTTCCAAGGAACAGTTGCGTGATCTTTTCCCTCAGAAGCATGATGCCTCGAAACTGTGTAAACAACGCAAATAACTTCTGATACATTTGTGGCGAGGTTACATTTGCCTCTAAAAAAGCAGTATGACGGCAGTGGTAAAAAAGGCTTACCACCTATATACACTGAGTGGCCAGATTATTATAACCACCCCATCAGTACTTCGTTGGGCCGCCTCGTGACTCCACGAGATGGTGAAAGGTGATGCGAGGAATCTGACACGGCACTGTTGCCCTTGTGTTGTCTTGTACCAGTTTTGCCACTCTCCATTCTGCCCTAACATTGACTAGTCGCTGACGGCCACAATTCGCACGTTCAGACCCAGATTTTAGGCTGACAGTCCAGTCTTTAAACACTTAACAATGAGCCCCTCTTGAACATTTAACGAATTCTGCTGTTTTGCTGATACTCGCTCCATGGCTCGCGCCAACAATCATCCCACGTTCAAAGTCTGTTAAATCGCGTTGTTTCCCCGTATCTTCAGAAAAAAATCACTTCTACTGTCGTGGTAAACAACCTGCTTCCCTATTTATAATGGTCTGGCCCTCTAGCAACTTCAGCGCCAAATTATAGCTAATTTGCCTACAAACATCAGGTGGTCATAATAATCTGGCCACTCAGTGTATATACCTATTTATACTGTATACTGCAGTTCGCAAGAGAAAAGCCAAAAAGCGCAGTTTAGATACAGAATAAATATGGAACATTGACGTTTAATCTGATGTTAGAGCTTGTCAGTTTTTTATGCAAAAAGCAATAAATGAATGAAAAGTTATGTTATTGGTATCAATAAAAAAGATACATTTATAATGATTGGTGTGGCACCATTCTCATAGCTATATCACATTTTGCAGAAAGGTTATGGAGCATAATTGCACATCCCCCTCGTCATTTTGAATTATTTTGATGCAATTTTGACCTGAAGTTGTATCTTGGAAACTGGAGCCAACTAATACTCAGGACTTAATTTTCCTTTATTAGTGACCCAATTCTGGTAAAATTTAGCTACTTTCATTTCCGTGGCTTTTCTCCCTGTAAACC